CAGAGTCTACATCTGATTGTTGGTGATTTCCCCCTAACAGGTTACATAAAGGGATGTGAATATTCTGTGAAATTGTTATGTTCAACAGAATACCAAAGCCTATCTGTGAGTGCCTGGGTTAAATTTTCCTTTATTTGAGCCTGTTTTCAAGTCCATGTAGGGATTTCATCTATGATTCTATTTCTTTCATCATGCCCACTCTCTACCCAGGTCCAATCACTAACAACCCCTTTAATAAGCACTTGCTGAATGGACTGATGATACTATTGGGAAAACTACGTGGGTGCCAAATAAAGCTACATTTCCTATGTATTCTATTTGAAACAATATGTACTGTTAACTACCATCTATAAGTAAATTCTGTTATCCGTCCCGATACTGATCATTAAAGCTATTCTACTGCAATCCTCAGCCCAGGATTCAATTTAGAACAATACACATTTTGTTGTCATGCTCCTTTAGTCTTCTCTAGTCCTCAGTTTTTCAGGACTCTGATAGCTATTTTGTAGTTGACCCAGTGTTTTCTCCTGAGATTTGGCCATGTACTCTTTTTTTTTTTTTTTTTTTTTTTTTTTTTTCCCCTTCAGGTCCTGAGGATGTGAGACTCAGGACCTCAGGAACGCTACACAAGAGATCTGTCACTTCATGACACCCCAGCCACATAGAAGTGATGTGTGTTCTTCTCGGTGTGTCTTATTGGGAGGCATCTGATCTCTGCTTGACCCACTGAGATGTTGACATTGATCACCTTGATTTAATTTGTCCTGTTCAGCCAAGACTCTGTAACGTACCAGTTTTGCATTATGGTGACTAATTGGTGAGAGACACATCTAGGTAAACATCCTGTTTAGTTCCTGTCATATTTACTTGGCATTTAATCAAAGGAGAAGTTGGAAGTTTGCCTTGTCCCCATTTACTCTTTCCTTTCTTTCCCACATGTGCCTTAGTTATTTTTGTGTGCATGAGTATTTTGGTTCCTGATCGATGGAAGGTAAGCCACTCTGTTCTACCACACTCTCCCTGCAGTAACAGACTGGAAACAAAAATTAGATTTACTGTTCTACTAGAAGATGAGCCAACCACAGCAGCAGGGAGAGAAGGGACTATCCTGAAGCAGGGAGCATGGTAGAAAAGAAAAGGAGCCAGAGAGATAGCTCCGTGGTTAAGAGCACTGTCAGCTCTCCCTGAAGACTTGGGTTCGATTCTCAGCACTTAAATGTGGCAGCTCCCAACTCCAGTTCCAGAGACTCTGATGCCTTCTTCTAGCCCCCATAGCACTGCATGTATACTCATATACACGCAGGCAAACACCCATATACACAAAATAAGATATGTTTTGTTGTTTTGCTTTGTTTTTCCACAGGGTTTCTCTGTGTACTTCTGGCTGTCCTGGAACTTGATCTGTACATCAGGCTGGCCTGGAACTCAGAGACTCTGTCTCCCAAGAACTGTGTTTAAAGGCGTGTACCACCACTGCCTAGAATAACATGAATTTTAAGGGGGGGGGGAGGAAGGAGGGAGGGAGAGAAAACAAACTGCCTTAGCTGCCAGCAATGGACTGTACTAGTCCTTTGTGATAGCACAGCCAGGACAAACTTGTTTCTGCACAAAATAGTGACCACCATTGTTCACATGTGCTAAGAATCTGGATGAATGACAAGATGCACAGGAGGCACAGGGGAAGAGCCCCAATGAGTCAGACGATGCAGGAGGGGACCCACTCTCCCGGCTGTTACTGACTGTTGAAACACCGGGTGTTTCGTGAAGAAAGTGTAAGCGTTTAGTGGTAGTACTCTGAAGGTGGCTGGGATGAGAGCGCCATGTGCAGCTTCGAAGACTGCACCACCTTCATGAGCCTGAGATGACAAGGAAGGAGACCTCAAGGCCAAATGGGCAGTGGGGGGAGAAAATAAGTCACCGTACGGAAGTGAAGCTGGAGCTGGTGGCTGCAAGAATGGTCCAGGTCACTAACCTGAAGCATGTGCAGATTTCTGCTAATGTCATGACTTCATGTCAGAAAAACCTGATTGGGAACAGCTCAGTCAGATTCTAGAACACAGTCAAGGGTCACCACCTTGCTATACTCTGAGACAAGACACCCGAGGCCAGGCCACTGCTGGCCTCATACTGGGATCAAAAGTGCCAAGTACTTCCAGACTAATGCACTAAAATGTGCATTACCCAGTAGATGGAAACCAGGACCCAGGTCCTAGCAGCTGAACTAGCCTGCAGAGTGTAAGGATCACAGCACAGCCCCGAGAAATCAGGGGCTTCAGTACTCACTGCCTGGAGTACTTCAATGCTTAGGGTGGCCAGAAGGATTCTGAGGCACCCGAGCACCTCCAGCAAGCCAGTCCACTGTGCCCTGGGGCCTTTGTCTAGCACCGCTCTCCGGGGACAGGTGGGCACTCTCAGATCTTGTCCTGACTCAGCACGTTAAAGTGTACTGGGACCAAGGGTTCCCACAAGAATGTGACAGGAGAGAAACAAGAATAAACACTACATCAGCATTAAAATGGGAAAGAAATCCATTTGAACAGAGCATGAAGAAGACAAAGCCAGGGAAAGACAAACAGGAGGAGTGGGCTCTAGGAGACTATACACAAGCAACCCAGACACTTTTAGGTTCTTTGCTCAGCTTACTAGGCCACTTCCATTCTTGGGGGTTGCAGGTGTCTTGATTTCAGGTCTTGTCTGTTCTTTGGCAAGTAATGTGCCGTACTGTTCCCATCTGCTGCTATTAGAATGCAAGGTGACGCTACTGGAGTATGATTGAACGTTGTGTTTTCCCAGTGTTTGGGGTAGTGATTGTTGGAGGAAAACCCATGAGTAATAAAGGCTGAGTGTTGGGAAATGGCTCTGCAGCCTTAAGTAACATGTGTTTTGTGAAGCCAAGTTCCTTTTGCTGTGCTGCTTTAGGTAAATAAATGTGTTTAGCCGTTTTTGGTGAAGGGAGACTAGGGGCACTGATGCCTTTAGTCTTTTTCAGATTCAACCTAAAATCTGGCGGGAAAGACTGCTCCTAACAGGGGGTGGCTTTTCTTTCTCTCTTTTTACTACTTTTTAAATTTTTACTTATTCGTGTATTTTCTTAGGCATGAGTGCTCTGTCTGCATGTATGCTTGATGGCAGAAGAGGGCATCGGATTCTACTATAGATGGCTGTGGGCCACCATGTGGTTGCTGGGAATTGGACTCAGGATCATTAGAAGAACAGCCCGTGCCATCTCTTCAGCCCAGTTTTTCTTTAAAAATATATGTGTGTGTGTGTGTGTATTTTGCCTGTAAAAATGTCTAGTCACTATGTTCACAAAGCACCCACAGAGGCCAGAAGAGGGTGCCAGATCCCCTGAAACTGGAGGTGGGGAAGGTGGTGAGCTACTATATGGCTTCTGGGAATCAAACCTGTGTTCTCTAGTCCAGTGCTCTTGACAGCTGAGCCAGCTTTCCAGCCCTATTTTCCCCTTTCTTTTACTCCCCCTCCCCCAGTTTCTGTGTGTAGCCCTGGCTGTCCTAGAATTAACTCTGTAAACCAGGCTGGCCTTGAACTCACAGAAATCCGCCTGCCTCTGCCTCCTGAGTGCTGTGGTTAAAAGTGTAAGCTACCATTGCCAGGTCAGTGTCCCCTTTCTTGATAAGTTAATTCTATTCCATGTCTAGTTTAAAAGATATGACTTTTTCCTCCATCTCCTGACAGTTTCTGAGATTTTCAACTAACCTGTCTGCTCTTCTCTAAAACTCTAATACTATTGTCCTTTTGTTTTCTTTGAGCCCATTTCTAAATTCTTTTTATTAATGAGACTAGCCCCCCCCCAAAAAAAAAAGAACAAAAGGAGAGGAATACTCTGATAGTCCCCTCGGGTCTAGAGTCTGATAAGGGAAGAACTGGGGAGAACGTGCAATCTCCTCTGTCATACGGGCTTTGGGCTCTCATGCTGTCAGTTGGAAGATGAAAGTCATCCGGTGCAGGATACTTCAAGGCCGACGTGCTAGCCCAGCCTTAGCTCCTGCTTGCCCAAGGCCAGGACGGAAGTCCCATCTTGTTTCCAGCATGAAGTGTGCCGGCTCTGTGCCCACTGTGTGTAACATCACATCTGCACAGTTTCGTGGCGGCTGCATGGCCGAGTCACTTATCTGCACGGAGTACTGCTGCGCCAGAATAGCGTTTGTTATATATTCAAAGTTAAGACATCGAATTTTCTATTTTTTTTTTTTATATATATAACAAATGTACTTGCTACTGTAGGAAAATCCCTCATCGGTCACCAGCCCATCTAATTAATTATACTCTTAGAATGAAAAATTTAACACGTATTTATTCAGTGTGTCTGTATACAAGTGAAGGTCAGGGGACAACTGTGAGTCCCCGGGGACTGGACTAGGGTCAGCAGGCTTGGTAGCAAGCATCCTTACCCACCATCTCATTGCCTCCAATTACTTATACTCTTATTATCTTTGTTTTAATACTGACATTTCACGGATTTGGTTAGTAGAGTCTTCAAAGCTCCACTGTCATTTTACACATTTCCATCCATCTGTCCTTACATTCTAGTACAAGGCTGTGTCTCTAGAACTGGCTTTTTCATCAAGGCGCCCCCCCCCCCCAAAACCTTTTTTGCTACTGTTGTTTTGCAACACAGTCTCATGCTCGAAAACGACACTGAAATTCTGATCCACTACCCGAGTGGATGCTAAGACTGCTGGCGTGCACGCACACGTTTCGCGCGATGTTAGGAATCGAACCCAAGACCTCAGGAAGGCGAAAACGAACACTCCATCCACTGAATTCTCCTCCCCACGATCTAGGAACCAGAAAAGACCGGAAGTCCTCTGCTTCCTGCCAGGGCGGAACTTACGAGCTACGCACCTGGCCGGAGCTGGGCGCTGCACACCAGCCTTTTCCGGCTGTAACCGGAAGTCGCTCTGGCAGAGGCGGCTCCGCGTCAGGTGACAAAAGTCCGGGTGGGAGGGGCCGAAGGCTCAATCTTTCTGACTGAGGAGTCGCTGAGACTGGCTTGTCCGCCGTGGGGCCGGGAGGGACTGGTGGCGACGCTGGCGCTCGCACTGCTGCGGGGTACGTGACGGGCTGGGGCGGCGGGCCGGGGGGCGTGGGACCCCGTGGAGCTCAGGGACCGAGGCACCTGAACCCCGGTGCCCGGGACAGCATGTCTGACTGCCCGGGTCCCAGAAGAGAGAGAGGTCAGGCCGGCGTCCTTGGGTACAGATTGGGCAAACCGAGGCCCCAGAGAAGGGGCGGGCGCGCACGAGCTCCCTTCCAGACCGGGGCTCACCCTGACTTCCTCGGGTGCGGGACGGTCTCCCTTAGTAATGGTTCGGCCGAGTGGCGAGGTGCCGAGTGTGGCGAACAGATTTGGGGTGAAGCGCAGGAGATCTGGATTCGAGTTCGCCGCCTACAGCTAATTGTGCGTTCTAGGCCAAGTCCCCTACCCCACGGAGCCTATTCCCACACTTGTAAAACAGCCCTCACACCACCTGCCCGGTAACCCTCCAGTGTGCCGGCTTCCCAGCCCTGGACTCCTGCGACAGCTGGTTTCGAATCTGGGTTTGGAACCTAGGAAACCTTATTTTGAACGTTCTCCTCGGGACTCCTGTACCCACCGGTGTTTGAAGCCTGTTCTGAAGTGCTCTCCGCTGTGAATGCGCGTTTCGCGTGGAGGCAGCTGGAGCCGGCTCGGTTCTTTGAAACATCCATCAGTCTAGCACAGGAAAAGACCACCAGAGGAGACTATCTTTAAAAACTGGCCGGGGGCGTGGCGCAAGTAGGTTATGTCAAAAGATGACTCCCACTTAAGCTTTGATGCTGAAAGAGGTACAACTAGGATTAATAGGTGGGTTCTACGGGAAGACAAATGTGTGCTTAATATTAAGGATTTAACGGAAGGATCATCAGAGGTGACTGTTGATGGGATTGACCGTCTCCTTGTGGGACAAGGTGTCAGGTATTAGGTGGAGGTCCTTTCCAACTTGAAAGTCTCTTATTCTGAGTAGTTATTGTGAATCTTAGCTCTCCATCGCTAACTCTGCTCTCACAGTGTATGTGACATTCCTGTTTGAGACAGGGTCTCATGGGTGTCAGGTTGTCTTCAAACTCCTTTTGTAGTTCAGGTTGGCTTTAAACTCGTGATCTCCTGCCTCTGCCTCAGAGTGTGGAGATTCCACATTGCTCAGTACCATTATGTCTGTTGAATGTGAAATTGCTTTGTCTTCCTTTCTTCTCTTGACCCCTCCTTCTCCCTAGCCTACATTTCCTGTAAATAAGACCAGCACGCTTGATCTTATGTAATCTTTTCCTGGTTGTCATGTTCACCATCCTTCTTTTCAAGGACTTTGGAATGACCCAATATCTGATAAAGGTGTAGGAAATGTGTGTTGTATTGATAGGCAGTGATCCATTCTATTGCTTAGTAGTTTTGTTTTGTTTTGCTTTTTTTTTTTCATTAATTTTATTAGTCAGGGTCTCACTCTATAGCCCAGGCTCAGATCTTTGTGCCTCAGACTCCCAAGTGCTGTGTCATATCTGACATTAGTAATTCATTTTCTAAGACTGTGAACTAGCTAACACTTGGTCTTTCTGTCTGTCTGTCTGTCTGTCTGTCTGTCTCTCTGTCTCTCTTTCTCTCTTTTCCTTTTCTAGAGTGTTATGTAGCCCAGGCTGAGTTTGAACTCAGGGTCTTCCTGCCTCAGCCTCCCAAATGCTGGGGTTGCTTGTGTTCCCCCAGGACTCTACTTGCCAGTGAACTCTGGACCACAGAATGGAGGGGTGATTGCAGTTTTTAGGTCAGTCTTCTCCCTAGTTTATAAACAGCCTTAATCCTCTCTCCAACAGTGTGTGTAGATGTGAGAGATTTTTTTTTTTTGCAGTTTAGTAAGCTGGCTATCCATCCAGCTTATGTGACCAGTTCTTTTATGGTCGTGACTTGCCAGCACGTTCTCACAGATGACCCTTCAAGCATATCTATAGTTTTCTAATATAACATTCTATTTCCTTATTTTGTACTTTACCAAACACTAAGTAGATCATTTTCCCATCACCTGTTTATGCTGCTGGCATGTTGACCGATCAATGCCTTTATTCCCAGCATTCAGGAGGTGAGTTCCAGGACAGCTAGGCTCTCTCTCTCTCTCTCTCTCTCTCTCTCTCTCTCTCTCTCTCTCTCACACACACACACACACACACACAAGTGCTTATATTGTCTTGAAAAGGAAGATACCATATTATGACCCAATTCTGCTGACACTTCTTCCACAAAACAAAAAGTTGGGGCTGAACCAAAAATTCCTGGCTGTTTTCCTGTTGTTTATGTTTCTCAAAAAAAATTTTTTTAATGTGAAATGATCATTCAGTTGTTATGTGACATTCAAGACTATGTGGCTTTAGACTCAACTCAGTTGCCATCTCAGTGTTGAAAAAAATGCTCTTAATTTGTTGGAGTTTTTAAAATTTGATTTGGGAATTTCTTCCTTCCTTCCTTTCTTTCTTTTTTTTTTTCAAGACAGGGTTTCTCTGTTGTTTTGGAGTCTGTCCTGGAACTCACTTTGTAGACCAGGCTGACCTTGAACTCACAGAGATCCTCTTGCCTCTGCCTCCAGAGTGCTGGAATTAAAGGCCTGCACCACCAACACCTGGCTCTGGAGTTTCTTTTTAAAGGGATATCTGATTGATGCTTTAGTAGGTGTATTCTACTGGCCACTGTCTGATGCCTGTGAGAAGGGATCTGATGGTAAAAATACGTTTGGGAAAAGCTATTCATCATTATCCTTTATTAGTGTCTTAATATGAGTACCACATAAAGGCACTGAGATGTCTCACAATAAAAATGCAGACTTATCTAAGCTAGCATAATAACATGTTTTGCTTGCTTAGTGTTGCCAAACTTATTTGGTGTGAAACCTCTTTTTTTAAAATCCTTAACACAGAGCTTTGCTTCATAATATCCATGGTAGCTTCAGACTTTCTCTCCTGCTTCTGCCTTCCAAGTACTGGAAATACTAGTATATGCTACCACAGGGGGTTATTTCTTATGTATTTTTTTAAATTGAAACATACATTGAAAAATCCTGATCTAAAACCTTTGGTCTGTAAGCCAAATCTAGCCCACTGAGTGGTTTTTTGCACAGCCTCTGAGCTAAGAATGACACACACACACACACTTAGGCTGGTCCAATTGCTGATATGTATTGTTTGCTTGCCTGGCTTTTAAGTTTCTTGTGTTTGGGGGCTGTATATGTATAAAGATACTTACTTGCTTTCTGATTTGGTTATTTACTTATTACCTTTTTTTTTTTTTTTTTTTTTAAACAGCAGAGTCTCTGACAGAACTTAGAGCTAAGCTGGCTGGCTAGCAAGCTCCCAGGATCTACCTGTCTCTTCTCCCAGCCCTCAGTGCTAAGGTTACAGATAAGTGTTGCCTTATCTAGCTTTCACTTGAGCGCTAGGAATCTGAACTCAGGGCCTAATACTTGTGCAGCAGCACTTACCAACTGAGCCATCTCCCCAGTCCTAGCTTTTACATTTCTAAATGGGAACTAAATCTAAGAATGATCCCAGCACTTGGGGTAGGGGGATGTCTGTGAGTATGAGGCCAGTCTGTTTTTTGAGTTTCAGTACAGCCAGAATTACATGGTGAAACCCTATCTCAAAATCACAACTAAACAAAATATACATATACATGTATACACACACATCCTCCCAGGTATGAAAGGTTATCTCATGTTATTGATTTACATTTTCCTCATGACTGACAGTATTGAACATATTTGTATGTGCTTGCTCTCATTTGTACATCTTGTAGGTTTTTGATATTTTTAAATTTATTCATGTGCGTGTGTGTGTGTGTGTGTGTGTGTGTGTGTGTGTGTGCATGTGCACATGTCCATGCCAAGATGGATGTGTGGAGGTCAGAAGATAACTTACAGGAGTCAGTTCTTTCCTACCATTTGGGTTTATGGGGATTGAACTCAAGTTCTCAGGCCTCACACCAAACACCCTTACTTACTAAGCTATCTCGTTGACCCATTCCTCTGTACATTTTATTGGAACAATATGAGAATATTCATTTCCTTTACCCATTCTGTAATTGGGTTATTTGTCCACATATACAGTTTTGGATATCAGTATTCAGATTGTTTGTAACCTCTGACAGCCCTGGAAGTAACTCACAATGAACCAAATGGCATAATAGAGACATGCCAGTAACTTCCTTAACTGAAAGAAATTTGATTTGAGTATCCATAGGCTTTTTTGTTTTGTTTTTCATATCAGGGTTTTTCTGTTTAATAATAGTCCTGTCTGACCTGGAATTCACTTTGTAGATCAGGCTGGCCTCAAACTCACAGAGATCCGCCTGCCTCCACCTTCCTAGTGCCAGGATTAAAGGCGTTCACCAATACTGCCACCTGGCAATTTGGACATTGTGAAGCACAGAATAAAGTTGTCCATTTTAGACTGCTGATCATGCAGAGCTTGGCACAACCCTAGCCACGGCTGATTTGAGCAGCCTTGTCCTGTGAAAGAGGTATTATTTGTGCCCAGAAAAACAGCATCATCCAAAATGTGGTAAGAGCATGTGGAGATCCTTCCTTGTGTCTGTCACAGGCAGAGAGGACAGGGGTGCATGTGAAGGACTTAGGGCAAATGTAGGCTTTCAATTCCAAAACTGCTGGCTCACCATGCTGCTTCTGACTCCATAGCCTTTGATTCTACCCATACCATCATGAATATTAAAACAAACAGCCTAGTCATTTAAATTATTAAAGATTAGTTAGGGAAGTTTAGAAAAATATCCCTCATACTCACCTTGTCATCCCTGTATCATCTAAAGAGAACCTTAGTTGCAGTTGCTTTTATTTCCTTATTTCTTGTCACTGGGTACAGCACAGATGTGTGTGTGTGTGTGTGTGTGTGTGTGTGTGTCTGTGTCTGTGTCTGTGTCTGTGTCTGAGCAGGGGAGAGGGAGGGTTGGTGTGCTTGCCAAGTGTTCGTGTGGACATCAGAGGACAACACTTTGTTTGAGGCAGGGTTTGTTTTGCTTTCCAGTGTGTGTGTCAGGTTAG